TGGATGAAAATAATATTTTATTAGATGTGATGGATGTGATGGATGAGTTGTTGGATAAAAATAATATTTTATTAGATGTGGTGGATGAGTTGTTGGATAAAAATAATATTTTATTAGATGTTATGCATGAGTTTTAAAAATAAAAATGTGTAAAATTATACTTTTTAAGATTTCTTGGTTTTCATTTCTATTTTTTGATTTTTTAGGAAATAACCAAACAGGCACTAAAAAGATAAAAAAGAAAGAACAGAAAAACGAAAAAAAGGGTACATGTCGAATCCATCCGACCGTTGGTACCAACTGACTCTTCATCTGGTAGCCGCGAGACAGCAGACCGGACCTAAACCCGCGCGCTACCGTCACTTCCCCGCACGCTGCCCGACAAAACGCAGCTCCCGGTACGCTGCCTCGCGTTCCACGATCCGCTCCTTCCCTCCGTTCTCCGTTTTCTTTTTCCCTTGCATTTTCTTATCGGATCCCAACTTCTCCAAATCCGACCCGCTTCCATAGGGGAAGGAGGTGGGCGAGAGAGCGAAATTCGAAAGGGGGGAAAACAAGAAAAAAGAAAAAAAAAAGGAAAATGTGGGTGTTTTACTTGATCTCGCTTCCGCTCACCCTCAGTATGGTGACGTTCACGCTGCGGTACTTCGCGGGGCCGCACGTGCCGACGTACGTGCTGCTCGCCGTCGGGTACGCCTGGTTCTGCTCCATCTCGATCATCATCATCGTCCCCGCCGACATATGGACTGTAAGATCCGTGCTCACCCTCTGCAATTTTGACGCATTTTCTTTCAATGCTCAGCTAGGTTTTCAATTCTATATATATATATATATTATATACATTATATAATATATGTTATTAAAATATTATATAATATTATAATTTATAATTTATAGTATTCCAAATCCCAAAATATTGATGAAACAAACAAAATATTACAAATTATATTATTCCAAATCCCAAAATATTGATGAAACAAACATAATATTACAAATTTTGGTATTAAAAATCCTAAAATATTGATGAAACAAACAAAATTTTAGAGATCCCAAAACCCACAAAAAAAAATTTATGGATTTCAAATTCTATGGTGAAATCCATATCCATAAATTTTGGGATTTGAAACAAACACCCCCTAAACATTTCTTCCAATATAACAGATTTTTCCTCGATGCCGTCCCCAAGGCTCCTGTCTACGCACCTCCCCTTCGATTTACTGCCGACCTCCATTGCGGACTCGGGTTCAAAAATCGTCTACGTATGTCGAAACCCGAAAGACACCTTCGTGTCCTCATGGCATTTCTGGAACAGAATGAGAGAGAGGGCAGGGGAGGAGCCGATCCCGCTTGAGGCGAGCTTCGATCAGTTCTGCGACGGGGTAAGTGTTATGGGGCCGTACTGGAACCATGTGGTCGGATACTGGAACGCTAGCAGAGCAAATGACGCCAAGGTGTTATTCGTGAAGTATGAGGATATGATTGCGGATCCGATAGGTGAGTTAAAACGGGTTGCAGGTTTTATGGGGTGTCCGTTTACGGAGGAGGAGGAGGAGAGGGGTGGGGTGGCGGAGGGCATAGTAAAGCTTTGTGGGTTCGAGAGCTTGAGCAATTTGGAGGTGAACAGGGAGGGGGTGATCGAGACTATTACGCTCGGGGATTACGAAAATAAGTTTTTCTTCAGGCGGGGAGGTGTTGGGGGTTGGGGGAGTCTTCTTTCGCCAGAGATGGGTCGACGGCTGGACGAGATCACGGCGAGCAAGTTTGCGGGTACGGGGCTTTCGGTTTAAAATAGTTCGCCGGTATGCGAGTGAAAGTGTTCCTATAAATTTCGTGTTCTCTTGTTTCCTGCTGTGTTCCTTCTTGACGTCAATACTCGTTGGACAAAGGACAAGAGTTAAGTGTTTGGTTGTATCTAGTTTAATGATGTCGTTTCAATATTTAAAATAAGTGTAGTATTAAATGTAATGACAATTTAAGTTCCCCTTAAAAACTGTTGAAGTCTGTTGGTTTTGGCCGCAACAAAACTAACCCACTATCTCATGAAATCAAGAGAGGGATGTAATAGATAGAGAACATTTGGGATTGTAGAGAAAATAACTCAATTGTAGATTTCATGGATATTGAGGGTGGATCTGAAGGGTGAACGGTTGCAGAGTGAGTCCATTAAATTGATGGCTAACCATAAAAATTTTCACTGCAAAACGGGAATCCTAAAAAACATCTCTCCCATCTTGTTCTCCCTATTCAAATTTCTTCATAGGTATCAGAGCTTTGACGGCCTCAACGGGCGGCATGCTTTAAAAACTTGTAGCCATCGTTTTTCCTCTGTCCTCAAATCTCTCGACTGTTCCCTCTCTCTGTTTGGTGCATGTTGAGCAGGTATAAGAGGTAATATAGATAAGGTCATCTAATCTCTACATAAGTTATTGCAATAGCGCTTTTGCCTATTTAGAATGATTTTTTTTTGTGAACGTGAGATAGCCTAGAGCAGTGTGTTGTCAAATCAGTTTTTTTATTTTATTTATGTGACAGATACTGTTGGATTTCATTTTATAGTATTCTAAATGTTATTTGTTTGTTCGGCTACATATTTATCTCTAAGAGAAGGTTTATTTTTAAGAGAAGGTTTCATATTTAATTGTTTTTAGGTTCTGATTGCATCTTTTTATTTTTTATAATATTTTTTAGCCATTTAGGGTACTTCTTGCAGTATGACATGAAATTATATGTCGTGTTGTCACATGTTTTAATTCTATTGTAATATCTATCTGTGATCCTATTGTTCTTAGCTGTTACTAAATCTCTTTTAATATTATATATTAATAGTAATGTTTCTTGCTTGCTAGCTGGCTTTTTTTTTTTTTTTTGAATCCCATAGCTTATTGTTATAATGAATCTGTACATGATACATCTAAACTTGTTTTAAGGTCTTTGATCATAGTGATATGGTTGTGATCCTTTTCTTTCAAGACCTATTAGACATCTTAGAGCAACTCCAATGGGGCTGCAAAACTCCATTTTGCAGCCCCATGGAGCTCCAACCGGACTCCAATTTTTGGATTCTGGATGCAAAAACCCCCACTCGGCTGCATATTTGGAGTTTTTGCTCCAAATATGCAGCCCCCCTCCAAACCACTATTCCCCATAAAAATTGGCAATAATACCCTTCTAACTAACTAATTATTTTTAGATATTCAACTTAAAATCAACATAAGTTTATTTCTACTAATTATTTTTAAATAAAAATTTTACAGTTGGAAATGTTTTGTCGATACCTTCAAAATGAGACTAATATTGAATAATATTAATTAAAATATAAAATTTCAAGAACCAAGTAATTAAAAATGAAAAAGTCATTATTTCATTAGTAAAAAAAATTACATAGCTTCATTTCCATGTCTTTCCCACAAATGTTCAATCAATGCATTTCGAAGTGCAAAATGAGCTTCTTTGTTTTTCAACCTCTTATGTCGAGCAATAAACCGTTGGAATCGTTCAGTTTCCGGCAAAATGAGCTTCTTTGTTTTTCAACCTCTTATGTCGAGCAATAAACCGTTGGAATCGTTCAGTTTCCTTTATCTCCATATTTTTAGCATTCGGAATTGATTGTGGAGTTGAAATGACAACATCTTCTTGCTCGTCGCGTTCATCTTCGACAATCATATTGTGCATTATAATACAAGCAGTCATGATATCATGCAGAGTTCGTTTATCCCAAAAACGGGCTGGCCCCTTGATGATAGCAAATTGTGATTGGAGAACACCGAATGCCCGCTCAACATATTTTCGACATGCTTCTTGCATCATTGCAAAATATTGTTTCTTTTTATCATCGGAATTAGAAATGGTTTGAACAAGTGTTGGTCATTTCGGATATATGCCATCGGCCAAATAATAACCGACATCATAATTTTTTTCTTGAATTGTGTAAAGAGCAGGAGGAGCAATACCTTGTGATAGATTGTCGAACAAATTAGACGACTGCAATACATTAATATCGTTATTGGATCCTGGTAAGCCAAAGTATGCATGCCATATCCATAGATCATATGATGCTACTGCCTCAAGAATAATGGTTGGACCTCCATGACGACCTGAGTATTGTCTTACCCATGCTATTGGATAATTTTTCCATTGCCAATGCATACAGTCTAGACTTCCTAATATTCCTGGAAAACCTCTTTCTTCGCCCTTTTGCAATAACCTTGCAACATCGTCGACATTGGGAGTCCTCAGATATTCATCTCCATATACTTCTACAATTGTTCTGCAAAATCTCTTTAAACATACAATTACAGTTGACTCACCGATCCTAACATATTCGTCAGTACTATCTGCTGATGTTCCATACGCCAACATGCGAAATGCCGATGTAACTTTTTGTAAAGTTGATAGCCCAAGTTTGCTGACACCATCCATCTTCTGTACGAAGAAGTTGTCATGATCACGTACCGCCTCAACTATACGAAGGAATAAACTCCTGTGCATCCAGAACCTTCTACGGAATAGGTTTGCACCATATGTAGGGTTATCAGAAAAATAATCATGGTATAGTTGAGAATTACCTTCTTCCCTCCCGCGATTGATCACCAAATGACCAGGAACTGAGCCAATACGCTTTGGCCGCTCTGCCTCTTGAGAGAGATAAGTCATTATTTTATTATTAGAGGCATGTACGCGAACTAAGAGTTCATCTTCCTTCTCCCATTGTATCATATCTTCCTCCCAATCTTTAATGTACTGAGACCATATTTCGTCGTCGTCAGAAGAAGAAGAAGAAGGTAGATGTGACGGTCCGGCTCCATAGTTCATTGATGAAGAAGTTATTTATAGAAATAATCATATAAGTTGTGAGTTATTTAGAGATGGATGTAATGTCATTATATAATATGACTCCCCGCATTGGATTCTTTTCAGCATTGGCTTCTCACCCCCATATTGGATTCCTTTTGTATTGGAGACTCCCCACATTGGATTCTTTTCAGCATTGGCTTCTCATCCCCCATTGGATTCCTTTTGTGTTGGAGACTCGCCACATTGGATTCTTTTCAGCATTGGCTTCTCACCCCCCATTGGATTCCTTTCGTGTTGGAGACTCCCCACATTGGATTCTTTTTAGCATTGGTTTCTCACCCCCACATTGGATTCCTTTTGTGTTGGAGACTTCCCACATTGGATTCTCCTGGTGTTGGAGACTCCCCACATCTGATCCCTATATAATACTTGCACAATTTTCATATCTCCACCACAACTTTTTTTATTCTATATTCATAACTCTTTGCATTCCTCCTTAGATTATGGCATCTAGTCGCGGGAAATCTTTTTTAAAAGAAGAAGACCAAGTTTTATGCGCCACGTGGAGGAAAATCTTTACATTCCTCCATTTTCATGTACTTTATTTTCATGTACTTTCTTTTTCTATATAATGCCGCTGAATGTAATATATAAAATTTCATCATTCGGAGTAGTTGTGAAGGTTGTTCCAAATATTATGCTATATTTTTTGCTTTTTAAAATTTAAAGGCTCTTATCTATGTCTTATTATCAATTTATTAAAGATAATTACTTTTATTTAAATAATGAGTATATTATATATTATACTTTTAGTATTAAATTATAATATAATTTATATTTTAAATTAATTTATATAATTTTTTAACATTTTATATTTTTTATATTTTCAAATCTATTTAAAGTATTATAAAAGAAATCAAAGCTCTTTGCTGTCATTGCTTGCTTTTATCACATCTACTCCTCTATACAAACTAGTGTGAACACCGTGCATGGTATATATTTTTTTTCCGCTACAGTAATCTCGGTTATAACTTTTATAGTAATTTTTTGAATTACTACAGTATCCCGCCTCTGCTACAGTATTCTCGTGCGCTACATGTACAATGATATTTTTTTTTAAAAAACTACACGCCTAGTTTCACACGTGATATAGTAAATATTACTGTAGTATTTACTATAGTATGAATAGTTAATCTTGGGTTCTCCCATTTGTATAGACTAGTATGTACCCCGTGCAAGCACGACCCTCGCCTCTTTTCTACCATCGCACTTGGAACACCACTCCTCTTAGTTTTAAAATGGTAAAATAGAATGAATAAAAGGGTTCAACTATAACCAATTTTGAAATGGAAATTACCTTCGAAAAATAACAAAAATATTATTTGAGGGTTCAACTATATGTAGTAAATTGAGAAAATTCATGAAATAAGGGATAGAGCATTATGCTGCATTTACATGTAATTAAGTCACAATTCGTTAATGTTGTTTGATCTCAATTTTATTTTTATACAAACTAATTCTACAACTATGAAGAACTTCAAATTAGTTGCATTTGGAAAATAGATGCCTAATAGTATTGTATGGTGCAAATATAACAATACTACTCCAACAACTCACACATAATGGCCTAATAAAACAATATAGCAACAAAACTCTACATTCAATATAACATATATTCATGAGTTAGTCACTTGAGTGACAACCAATCATGAATTTTTTAAACTCTACATTCAATATAACATATATTCATGAGTTAGTCACTTGAGTGACAACCAATCATGAATTTTTTTGGAGTTATCTCTTGATGCATATTTTACTTCATCATACAAAATAATGCAAACTAATCTCTTTACTATATCGTGCCTCAAAGACAAACATTATAATATCGTATATTTATCATTAGGGAGCAAAATAAACAAAGCCAGTAAAAAGAAGAGAAATTAGAGCAAAAGCTGAAATAGAACTATTGCAGGCTTAAACGGGGTCTTAGATTATTTAAGCGAGGAAATTTCCTACTCTGAGATCTTCTTAACAACCTTCTCCATCACCTGAAAACCATAGAAGTTTCTTATCACCGATGCTAAGAGAAAAATTATAGAATATGATAATTGACCTGTCCAAAAAATATTATCAAATATTAAAAAAATTCACAACCATAAATCATCAACTAAATATAATAATCTCTTTATTAATGTTTCTTTTCAAAGATTCGTTATTAATGTTAAAGAGAAAAAAATAAAAAATGAACAAAAATTTGACAGAGGAAATCTTTAGATCTGATCACATATCAATAGTTCATTACTTTAGAGGAAATATTCAGATCTGAGCACATATCAATAGTTCATTCTCTCGCCAACTGTGGCAGAAGAAATCTTCATTTTCTCATCAATAAAAGCCCTCCAAAATTTCTAAAAATGATCATTAACTGTCATTGACGAAATTTAGAAACTTTAGTTTTTATCTTCATGGTTATACCATCCCTAGCCATCATTAACCAAATCATACCTCCCCTCAAAATTATACTACAAAATTTAATCAAATTAGGAAGAAGCCCTTAAAATCTTTTTCAGGGGTATTTATGTGAGATGGCAACTTTGTCTTTGATATTTGCGAGAAACAACATCCTAGCTCAATTGTATACAGTACATTTAGATATTCAACTTATGTATTGGTAATTGTTAGTTGATTTTCTTTGTCATTTTACTAACATGCACTTCACGATATCCATTCTTAGCTCTCAAGAATGACATCTATTCTCAGAAAAGAATATATGCCATGCAAATTTACATTACCACTTCAAGATACAATATAAATAGACTTCGTTAAATTCAGTTATATCACTAATAAAGATCAAGAGGTTGATATTTGAGGATTCTGATTCACAATGATTTTTTCTAGCATGATCTTTTTTTAAAGTCTTTCTAGCCTTGAGATTCTTTTCCCCAATATCCTTGTGAGATTAAATTGCCAATAGGGTCTTTTTCATAAGTTCTAGAAACTGACAGTCTAATTCTGAGAAGAAGTATCAAATAGTGATTACCACAAAAAAAGAAGAAACATTCATTGAATATAACTTAGTTCTCTGCCTCTGTTTTGATATCCTAGAAAAACTATTTTATGATACCAACTCTATGCATGTAGGTGGGGTGCATGTGCTTGTCAGCATGTCAGATGCATAATCTCCTCACTATTGTGAGTGAGAAATATAGTCTGAAACTTTGAATGTGAGCCACAAAGAGGTAGATGTGTTGAAATTACCAAATGATGCCAAATATTACTAAAAGAAAATTAATAGCTCCATAACCACTATGTACTGAACATGAATTTATCTCTGTTTGTAAATGTTTTTACATTCTTGCAAAATTTAATTTCTGATGTTAATAACGAACAATCAGAGGGAAAGGAGAAGAGTCGAGTGTTGCTTACATTTGAAATATACTTGTCTTATAGGAAGAAAGGCGAGTCATAGTTCTTGACAACGCATGAATACAATAGCGAATAAGAAGACTGAAAGGAGGAGGTCAAATCCAAGTTTTTGTTTAAACATAAAATTAAGAATTAAAGAGAGATGCATTGTTAGTGCCTCTAATCTAAAATATAAATTTGAGTTTAAAAACAAAATATGATCTCATTCAAACCAAAAATTCTCAATTTTGACCTGCCTTTGCCGTTCTTGCAATATTTCTAGCATATGATCTCATTCAAACCAAAAATTCTCAATTTTGACCTGCCTTTGCCGTTCTTGCAATATTTCTAGCAAATACTTGAAGGAGAACTTCATGCTTGCAAGAACATAAAGAGGAAATAGCATATATATTTTAAATGTAACAAATTGGATCTCATGTCAAACCACAACTAGAGCTGATGGATAATCATATAATTAGAGATTTAAAAGGTAATACTCACTTGCAAGTATGCTCTGCCTCCTCTGAATGTACATAAAAAGTATGAATAAGAATGGTTCAATATTATGGCAAAAGAATATAAAATTATGGCATATATATCAGTTTATATGCACAAGGTTCGTAAAAGAAAAAAATGTAATATAACACATTTTAATACTTAGTAGAGAAAAAGAATACAATAACAAATGAAACGAAACCTCCAAATAATTAGCAATATTTCTGGATAAAGAGTTGAAACAATTGAGATTGCCATGAGAGAGTTGGAGAAAAACAACTGACATAGTCAATCAAATTGTGCATAAATTTTTTGTGATATTCAAACTTCATAACTGATGAAATTGGTCAAAAAGGATTCCTATTAAGAAATTAAATCAATGTTGAAGATAGAAACAAAGGAGAACAATCAAGGACATGATTTGCAGTACCTTCTTGAATTAAAATGTATTGAAACTACTAATAAGGAACAATCTTAGTTTTTGAAAGAGAAAGTTTCCACATTAATGAGTATAAACCTTAGTTCTTTAAGGATCAAATACTCACAAGCCTGGTCAATCCTTTTCATTCTATAGTTGTAACATATATTTTATAATCCATCAGAGCTGCAACATGTATTGTATAATTCATGATAGCTCCACAAAATCTCAAAACTTAAATAAAGCAAAAAAGGCATATTCACATTCACATTTTTCTCGTCAATCAAGAAAATGCTAACAATCCATATTAAAAACAATAAATAATAAATAATAAAGAAAAATACAATTCCTAGTAAAATATTCAACTTGAGTTTCAAATCAGATAAGAATAAAAAAGAGCAGGGATTATAAGTTTATCTACTTACCTTTGTAAGTAATTGGTAATTAAACTTCTCGATATCTTCATGGCATATTTCCAACTTTTCCTTGAAGAGCATGAATATCTTTATATGCATCACCATGATTTATATTTTAATCAATTCCTCTAGAAACTAAGTAAAAAAAGAACTTTTTATGTAGAAACCCTAACAAAATGAAATCAGAGAAATACCTATAGTTTTCTTCTTGTCAAAGAGGAAATCTTGAGATAGAGAATTGTGAGCAATTTGTGAAGGTCAATCAACAAATCTAAAAATAAAAG